ACAGCCTCTTCCCAATATGCGTTTTTGCAATTTACATAAATGCAAAAACGCATAAAAATTGCGGGAAAAAAACGCATCTTCGCACAGGCACCCTGTGCGTTGGCCAGTTATTTTTCTTTGTAAGAGATGGCCTATGACTGCATTACTAGCACCAACAGTCTCTGCTGCCTCAGCATATGTCCGCGACTACCACTCTGTTATTTACACTTCTGCATTAAAAAATCGTAAAAAAAGCTGTTAAATGCGCATGCAGTGGATAATTTTAAGTAATATTCACATGAATATCATGCCCAGAGAACACATACCTCATCAATAATGACGAGTTTTATGTTTTCATCCGGACTATTTTTTGTTCTGCTTGGAACAGTGGTAACTGGTTTATCGAAATTCCGATTTCCAATTTTACAATCTCCATCAACAATCTGAAATTAAGAAATTTTTCACTCATTTATAATATTATATTCATTTCTTCCGGATAGCATCGGTATAACTTTTAAAAAAAGCGAAGAAAAAACCAGCAGAGCAAACTGAGGAATGATGCAGCATTGATTCCTGCAACCGAAATCACTTACCTTGCGAAAGTCCATTTCCGTATCAGCCACAACATCATAATCTTCGGCTCTTTTATCGACCGAATCACTTTCGCTAATTTTTAAATTGCAAAAATTGTTGGTAGCGAGAAATTTGTTTTCTTTCGTCTAAATTCAAAAATGTTAGGGTCATTTTTACTTGATCAATTTCATTTAAGGGAATATATGTAAAGAGCCACGACGTGGAAATGACGAAAGGGAAATAATAAACAAAATTTGTCAGTAAACAAATAAAACCGCGTGAGGAGGGAAGACAGAAAAAGTGAAAGCGGAGTTATAGCTCAATTTTTGACGTCAGTTCTAGCCGACGAATTAACCAATACAGTTCAAATATCTGCTGCATTATTCACCTCAGATGACTCCAGGTTCTGTGATGTCAGTTGTAGAAGCGAAGACGTATCCAGTGTCTGACTCAGTAAGCCTTGATGCAAAAGTTTCTGTTTCAGCTGAAAGTTTGGTATTAATTGTCGTTCGCCACATTAAAAAGATGAAGTGACTGAAATATGTTTTCTCATCAGCTTTGTATTCGAAGGTTTTTCTGCATGTTGTACAGACAGTTGTACACGGTTTCTAATAAAACGCCAAGACAAATGAAAGGAGGAATGGCAAGTTATTTTTTCTTCAATCTGCTTATCACACATTAAACTTGATCTATGCAAGAAGCTTAAGTTGAAGCAATTCTATGGAAGCCCAGGCAGCTAGGCACCAGGATTGCAGGTGCAATAATGTGTTTTTGCGCTGAACTTGAAGCAGTCAGTTCGTTGACACTGTGAATGGCTCTTGCGTTAGAGTTTAATAAGTGAACTCATTTTGGCTAGTTTCGGCCTTCTTGTATGCAGGGGGAAAAAGGACGTCAGCTGAGATGGCACTACTGCCCTTATAGGGCTGGTCGAAAGTTCAACCTCTAACATGCGTGATCATCGTAAATTTATTTGGGGATTTGTTTTTCACCGAAAAAATACAAGCTAGACAACGAACGGGATGTTGGGAACGAAGGATGGCTAGATTCGTGAAAATTTTTTTTTGAAATTGCGATAAAAATGAGCATTTTTCATGTATGTAGAATACCTAGACCACAGATTGAATTTAGAAACATATGGCATAGAATATTCTTGCAGAACTTCAAATTCGCAGCTCTGCCTTTGAAACCGTCATTTCGCAAAAAATATTTTTGACATATTCCAAGATGTGGTATAAGTGGAATTTGAAACTCCATTTAGGTATGTGACTGTCCAAATGGACGCCAAATATTCTGGCAAGATTATAGCTACTTTTTTCCAGCTATTTTCCGGGTTGGTTCTGTGACAGCTGTGAATTTTAACGTGACTGTACACGTGACGCAAGTGTGCGTGATAGCTGATTTGAAATTTCTAACTCAAAATATAAAGGGATATCTCTGCAAATTTTCAGCTTTCTACGTTTACTGGTATCCGATGTGACATCCCGTCCAAAAACTTGATATTTTTCAGGCATCCGTGAGTGCTAGGCGCAAAATGAGCGTTAATTTTAAAACGAAAGAATCGCACATGGGGTGGGAATATGCACTTTCAAATTCAGTCTCCTAGCTTTCCTGATATTCAGCTGGAAATGGGTGACAAAGTTCTTTTGCCTCCAAACGCACAAGCACACAGACAACCTCTCGAATACACGTTTTTGCATTTGCACAATATGCAAGAAACGCAAAAAAAAAAAAAAAACCATGTGAATCCTCTGAAGAGTTACTTGGATGCGTCGTGCTCAGAATGAAGCAGAATGAAAAAGACGATGGCTGTGCAAGGAAGAAACATGACAGTGAAATTAGAGAAAAATCAGTATAGGAACTAACGCATAAACTTCTTAACCCCTAGCAGTGATGTTTGATGAAATTAGCTACTTATAAAGCTGACCAGCATGGAAAGTTTTTCAGCTCTTCATCGATGGCAGAATGACTGGTGTCCTTCAATAACTGGTGGCGCACTAAATAAGCGTAGCTTACCTTTGCAACTTTAATGCGTTCAGTAGCCAGATGTTTCAAGAGGCTATGATTTTTCACTGCCAGTGTCACAGCTTTCACACAGAACGCAGTGAATGAAAGTTCACGGCTTTTGACAACTAAAAAATACCAACAGTTTTCAACACTCATTTTAAAAGTGTATTTTTTGCAATTTTTAAAATATTAAATACAGTTATTACGATGAAGTGCGGAAAATTAACAGTTATTCGCTACAGTCAGTACATCATAACTAAGCATCGTGAAGCACTCCTTTGAAAATTAACAAAATAATGAGCCGTAATACAAACGGATGGATTCTTTCCGCTCGACCGACGCCGCTAGTCGCTCTTTTTTCAATCGCTGCTCCTCAAGCGCCTTTTGGAGCTCGACCTGTTCTTCTTGCTCCTGGAAAATATTGTTTTCTTGGGGACATTCTATTCACCAGTACCAAAGGCACGGTATAGCATGTGCGTGCAACATGCTTTAAATGTGTTTTTGCATATTTATGCAAATGCAAAGGTGCATGATGGCAAGAGATCTCTCTGTGTGTATGTGTGTGTGTGTATGTATGTATTTATGTACATATTTGTGTGGGTGTGCGTGTTTCCGTTTACTTGCACTTATCATCCACTTTCAACTTAGCAATCAAAGCTAGGAGGCTGAAACTTTTTATCTTCCAGCATGCCTGGGTTTCGCGTATGGACACCAAAAAAATAGCAGCGCGCACCAGACTAGCCGGTGCGATCATGCGTTTTGCGCAATTCAGCCCATCGAACGATTGCCTATTCATGATTTTTACTACTCTGCACTTTTGTCTATGCAAAAATAATTCGAACATTGAAAAATGATTAAAAATTTCACGCACCAGAGCATGAAAGCTGGATTCGAAACCTTGAAGGGTGAATATCTTTCCGTGATTTCCGAGTTGACAGTTTAACCGCCAAAATTCGCACGAGGCCGTAGGTGATACTCAACAGCGAGGGGACGCTGAATTTGGATAGGCAAGGTTGAGCGTAATTACCCTAAAATTTCGGCCTCCTAGACTCCGTGGTTCCTGAGATATTAATTTACCCGTAAAAAAC